ATAAGCGCTACATGTAGCGCTTATTCGACTACATCCTTGCATCGACTACATAATTATGCAAACACTGCCGCTAAGACCCGTCTAGCCGGAGTTGTGAATGGCGGTCACGTGATGTGGGCGTGTTTATGACGTCACTGCTAGAGCGGTGTCTAGCGTGTTGATGCGTGAATCAGCGTGTATAGTTGCGGGCGCGAACGTGGTGGGCAAGATAGTTGCGTGCTTACTGTGTGTGTGTGTGTGTGTGTGAATCAGTCAGTCAGTCGACAACAGCAGTAGATATCCCGCGCGCATTAGTCAGGTTAGAACATGTGCGAATTGCTAGCAGGAAGCTTGTTGTTCCACCATCCGGCAGTTTAGCACAGCGTCATTTCGTGCTTGCTCTTGTTAGTGTGATGATGTTACTGTGTTAACGCCGTTATATACACACACGCGCGTATACCAACCAACCGATGGAATAAGAAAGTGTCGTGTGTATATTTATCATACTCTTGCGTCAGTTATAAACCTGCTGTTTTCGAGGTTACATGTTTAGAACAAGGTGAAGTGTCGTGTGTACCGAGTACCAAGAAGCCATTGTCACGATTGTGTGTGAGTGCGTGAAGGTGAAAGAGACAGCGAGAGCGAGACAGCTAGCAGGCGTGACGTGCTAGGCAGTCAACCAGTCAGTGTCATAAGTACGTGCACATACACGCGAGTTCTTCACTTTGCTGGTGTTTTGCTGGGCTACTCTGCTACAGACAAGTACTGAAGTTCAAGCGAATGCACCCGAACAACTTGTGATACTGATACTGAGTGATAGCTATAGGAAATTTTGACAGGTAAGTGCGTACGTTATTTGTTGTAATCCCCGTATCTTGCCTCTCGTTCGTACATGTACATGTGCGTCTGCGTGTTTTGGCATGTTTGTGGAATCACACACGTGTACCTAGGCTAGAATAGTGGGAGAGTCGCTGGATACTACTGCGTGCGCGAGGTGTGGGGTATACAAGTACATGTAGATGTACGTACATGTAGATTTGTTGAATTGCTCACATGTATATAATGTGCAGGTGTGTGTGTACGTGTGTCTATGTACATGAGTGTATGTATCAAGTATGTACATGTATGTGCATTGCACGTCTCAGTGTGTGTACGTGTGTCCATGTACATGAGTGTATGTGCATGTCTATGTACGTGTGTGTATGTACATGTATGTATGTACTAACCCGACCAGGCTGTGTGACTGACGTCAATATTATAACCCTAGCAATACCGTTTCTTGGAGCTATGTATGTACATGTATGTATGTACATGTGTATAATGCACAACTGTGTGTGTATGTACATGTGTCTATGTACATGTGTGTATGTGTGTCTATGTACATGTGTGTATGTGTGTATGTGCATGTGTATAATGTAAAGCTGTGTGCGTGTACGTGTGTCCATGTACATGAGTGTGTCTATGTATGTATGTACATCATGTACATCAAGAGCTAATAATACCTTATTAGCTCTTATTATTAGCTCTTGTAGGTATTATTAGCTCTTGATGTACATGTATGTGCAATGCCTATTCAGTCTAGCATTTTGTTAGGTTGGATTACGTAAGGGTTTTGTAACGACATATTGACAGTAGAAAAGAAAAAGATAAATTGGAATGAAACAAGGTAAAATAAACACTAATAGTAATACTGTAATAGAAAAGGACGATCCATACGTTCGAGGAACATGTAAAACAAAACACAAGTAAAGTGGCTCTTGTCTAGCGACGACCATTCACCCGAGTCAGGCAGTACAGTGCAGGCGGCCGGCAGATGTGTTGTGTTTGGCTTGTTCTATCGGTTAGCTATGCCTGTCTACCTGCATGTACATGCACAGACGTGCTCTGAAACTTGTACGAGCGCTGTTGTGTGTGTACACTCACGTCTCAACAGATTTTCCTGCTAAGATTGTGAAAGCTAGTATGACTATGAGCTATCTATGAGTAGTCGGGTGCGTGGGTATTTGCTCAAATCTCCGTATAGTAACACACATAGTTACCTACATACACGTATAATATATATTATATATACTATCTGATATATATAGTATTATTATATATATATATATATATATATATATCAGATGCATATCAGAAGTAGATAGTAGATAGTATAGGAAATAGATAGTCGTTCTACTTTTGTATGTAGTAGATCTACTTCTGATGCATATGTATCCATGTACACATATTACATGTATGAATAGTATTGAATACATACATTATGGAATAGCATTTCATACACCGTATATCTATACCTGGCGTTACGTACACGTACATGCGTTACGTACACGTACATGCGTTACGTACACGGTCATGCGTTACGTACACGGTCATGCGTTACGTAGGCACGTGTCATGCGTTACGGTACACGGTCATGCGTTACGTAGCAGGCATTGCGTTACGTAGCACGTTTCAATGCGTTACGTACACGGTCATGGCGTTACTACACGGTCATCGCGTTACGTAACACGGTCATGCGTTACGATACACGGTCATGCGTTACG